CACCGCGGAGTGTAAACATCACATCTTATCGTTGTTTTAAAGGAAACAGAGCTCGTTACATCAACAGCTGACGAGTGCCGGCCGACAGTTTGTGTGTTCATGGTAGAAAAGACTCTTTGTCATCTCGGATTAATGCTCCGTTCCAGTTGATCTTGGAAGTCGGAAATTCAAAGTTCCCTGTCAGGGAAGTGTCAACTGGAACGCCCCCTGAGGTCGTAATTCTGACTTAGAAACTCTGAGAATCTTCAGAAGCTCGAGTTAAGATCCAATATGGCAGCTTTATTGGCATCTTGGTCGTCTTTTTGTGTAATTAAATCAATCAGGCCGATGGTATCGTGTTCTCTCTGTGGAGGTGTTTTCATGTTATTTTCTAACAAAACGAAGGTACTCCTGGAGGCAACTTGCAACTGGAACGCAGTTAACGCGGGTGTGTCGCCATTCCCAGTTCCGAGATCCGAGTTCCGAGGTTAATGGAACGCAGCATGAAATCCAAAAATCACAGACGTAGGTCATGACCTCTGAACTGAAAAAAAAAACTGAAAAAAGTACAAAACAAACATCCATTTCATTTCTATTCTCCTGTTCAGCGAGGTGTTTCCTACTAGAAAAGAGCGTTCCCTTGTCCGACTTCCTGTCCGGGTCGTTCGATTCTGTCAAGCTTGCAGAATGCTTTGTTGAAAATAGACTCGCAGCGTATATGAAACAGAGCCGGACCGCGGTGCTCGCTGTGGAAATAACAGGACGGCCGGCTGATGTTTGTTTTTCTTCTGAAGTCACGTTTTATCACTTGAGTTTCTGAGAGATCTCATGGTCCGCCTCTCTGTGGGGTGTATTCATCCCTGAAGTTCATAAGAAGTGACCAGACTCTGAACTTTTGTATTCTTCATTTGTGGGAACTCAGTCGAAGCGTCTACCACAAAGATGACGAGTTAAAGGTACATACAGTAATTCTGTTATTCCACTTTCTGTTGTTGTTGTTTTTTCTGCCTTGTTAATTATGATTTTGTTTCACGGACAGCGTTGGATTTTTTTCCCTCCCTCGTGTTGTTTTTTGTTCCTGCCAGCAGTTCACTGTACAAAGTTAATTTTCGAGAACATTCCTGTTTTAAAAAACTCCCTTTAAGACGAGAGAAAATATGAAGTCAGGCTGTGCAATATGTCTCATTGAAGGCAGCAAGCAGCATTGAACTGCTAGTCTAACAACGATGATTTTAAATGTATTTGAAATATGTAAAATAAATCCTTTTTTGTATGATTATGTGTGCAGTCTCTGTTCCTGCTCGTCATATCTCCTTTTCTTAGTTTGTATTGTTTCCTGCCCTCTTTATCTTTACATCTCGTACACATCTCACTGTATATACCATGTGTCTCCTTTACTCGTTATGAGGATTAGTAGTACATGGAGACAAAGCAACACCGATGTTTCCACAAAACCATTTTTTTTCTGATTTTACACACGCACATATTCTTACTCTCCGTACTGTTAACTCTCCTCAGATTCATCGACACTACGGCTGTCAGCATGCTATTTTGTCCCTTCAGGCTCACCGTAGTTAGTCGTCCTCAGTGTCTCCCTGTAGTCTCAGTGATGTAAAAAAGAAGGACACTGCTGCATCTGTGAATATCTCATTTCACTTTAACAAACACTCAGACAGCTCAGCTGACGAGTCCAAAGTAATATCCACCTTATGGCATCACACATTGACCTTTGTTACTGTTCCTTTGAGCTGTTGACCTAGTTTGGGCTCCCTAACCACTTCCTGTTTCTCTGCTTAACTTCATAACGTCCTAACCTCCCATCTACAGGAAGGGCCTTACTGTATTTCAAAATAAAAGCACACAGCAAGTAAAGTACTCTCAGCTTCAGACAGGACAACCTTTCAAATATATATATATATATATATTTTTTGTTGTTCACTCAGTTCCTGTTTTGACAAATGTTGATAAAGTGATGACAAATACGATTGCGAGTCTGTTGTGTTTTATTTTTAAATTGACCTTCGCTCTGTTTGTTCCTTGTCTGACTTCCTGTCCGGGACGATCTGCTCTGTCCAGCTTGATGCGTGGCTGCAGCAAGCTCTGTCGAAAATAGACTCAAAGTATTGAAAACGGAGCAGAGTGGAGTGGCGCAGCTGGCCTGGGAGACAGAATGCAGCGTGTGCAATGGAAACGCCCCTCTAGTAGAGAAGCGTGATCAGCTCACAAGTGCGTGGCACGGACGGAACCCTGCGCTCACAGATCCTGTAAAAACTGCCAGATGGCTATTTTCAGTATTCCCCTTTGTTTTGAATGATGACGAAACTTCTTGCCTTTATTTCCCAAACGGCCAAAATATTGACTGAATCACATCAAAAATACATAAAGCCGTTAAGCCGGCGGTGTCGGAGGAAGGATTCTCCTTTAGATATCTGTAAACATCACTGAAGGGACGTTCTGCTGAGGACATCGCTGTGATCTAAAGAGTATCCCGTGTGCTGTACGAGGGTCACGAGTGCCCTAAACTTTTAGTTCATCTTCATATCTCAGTTTTTCTGAGGCTGTCAGGTGATGTTAACGTGTGGTATTCTTTCTTCCCTCTCGGCCTCCGCAACAGTCACGTGACTAAAAACGGTTAATTTGCACTTTTTAAAAGTAGGAAAAAAAAGCAGAAGAGACGCCTTTTTAACTTTTGTTGTCTGCTATTCGGCTATCTGACTAATAGTTTTCCGGCCATGGAGCACTGTCTTTGTTTTCCTACATGCTAAAGCTTTCCACTTCTTGAACTGTCGAGGTGCTGCTTTACTGCGACATTCATTTAAGCTCCGGGTGGTGATAACAGAGATCCAAAGAGCAGCTGAAACGGGTTTTCTCCACAGTGTGGCTCCGCGGTGCTCTCCTGTGCCTCCCCAGGCATGCCCAGCGGGGGAGGAAACCTCGGGGCAGACCCAGGAAGCTCCGGAGGGATTTAATTTCCCCGTACGCTAGCAGCGGGCTACTCCTCAGCAGGAGCTGCTGTGGAAATGATCTGTGATGCTCTGCTCTCCTCGCTGCAGCCATCGATCTGACACGAGACTGAAAGAGGTTTGAAGCAGCTTTTCTCTCTTTCTAAAACAGCTGAGGGGAGATTCAAGGTAGAGCAATAATAAGCATATCTGAAAGTAGATATCTTAGGTTAGTTGTACAGTTCTGTGAACAAATTGCTCGACTTTTCACTTTTGAATATGTTAAAGGTCACATTTTCTGTGTGTCTCTAGTCTGTCTACAAACCCCCCAATGATGAGAAAAGTCCATCCTCGCTGTCTTTTGCCTGCTCCACTTTTCAGAAAATATGTACTCAAAAAAGGCTGTGCGGAGATTTTCCCTTCATGACATCACAAAGGGCAGTGACCCCTCCCCCAGGTGGGTGACACTCCCACAGCTAGGTGTTTGTTCTGCCCTCTCACCGTAAACAATGGGGCATGGAGCGAGAAAGCCAGAGACACCCAAGTCCTTCCAGAGAGGGGGCGTGGTCAGACTCAGCTCATTTACATATTTAAAGGTACAGACACAGAAACAGCCTTTTCTGAGCAGGGCTGAAATAGAGGGGTTTATAGGCATGATCAAATACAGGATCAGAGTGGATTTAGAACAAGAAACTTCACACACATGTTTTGAGGCGCTCTGAGACTTATTTACACTGGTTGAAGAGGAGGAGAATATGTGACCTTTAAGTGATAAATCGCCAACGTTTGGCTTCACATGGGACAAACTGTTCTGACAGTCCTGAGATTGTTTGACCCTTGTATTCATCCTTTTCTCCACTTGACATAGAATCACCTGCTCAACATGCAGCAGGCGGACATTTTACAAACACTCATATTCACACATGCACACTTTTTTTCCTGCTTCCAGCCTCAAATCTTTCCTCTCCTCTACCAAACTGCAAGTTACACACACACACGCACGTTTAATCTACATTTATATTGTCTCGTGTGATTTGGCGGTGGGACGTTGGACTGGTCTTACTTTCTCTGACCTTAATGGAGTGATTTATTTAGAATGAGCATAACTTTTTTCAGTAAAATTAGTTTCTTTTCTCCTGACTTCATATTGAAAATCTGTTCACACTGATCACTCGTCGTGTTGAATTTAAGTTTCTATTCAAACAAACCGACATGTCACAATTTTTATTCTCCAGACTTTATATCAGCGTTTTCTTTGAGTGGATGATTTTTACATAATTTGGAGGACACCGACTGATTGAGGCGAGAAGATGAAGAGTCTCCCTCTGAGTTTCTGAAAGTTTTCTCTTCAACCAATAGAGGGCAGCAGCACTACTGCAACATGCAGGAGGGCAGTCACTGTCCGGTCAGGTCAGATCTGAGCTGTGTCTGCAAATATGTGCAGAGTGAAAAAGGAACTTGTCACCTTCTCTTAAATCAAAGCTGAGTCCCGTCACCTTTCATCAAATAAAACTCAATCAAAGAGTTTTAATCCACATGTTGCTGCTGTTTCAAGTCATGTTGACACAACAGAAGATGAATTCAATTTAATTACATTTCTTACAAACTGTGATTGATCTGTCAGACAGTATGTTTTTGTCAGCTGCTGTGAAAGCATGAATCACTGACACACACACACACACACACACACACACACACACAGACTCCCCGGGGATGATGCATTGAACTGCACGGAGAGATGGCTCATAAAAGCAGTGGCTCATAACCAATAAATGATCACAAAGTAAATCATTAAGATGATATATGTCGGGCTCAACCAAAGAGGACGAGTTGCTGGGAAATTAGCTTTCAAAAATGTGCTGTAATCTGTCACTGCTGAGAGAGGCTGAGAGCTTTTTTATTCCTGTGTGGGAAAATATCCGAGTGTATACAGCAGGCAGAGGGGAAGATATGTGAGGAGAGAAAGTTTGAGGAGCTCGCTCATTTCTTTTTCTGGTGACTTCAACTTAAAGGGAGAGAGAGGGGGAAGGTGTGGGGGGGGGACCTCAGTACAAATCTGTGCGCTGTCTCACTCACACAACCTCCAGGCGTACCAGTCCGTGTTGCGCGTCTGCTCACTCAACTTTTTTTTTTGGTGTGTGTGTGTTCCTGATTACAACTCCTCTGCAACTCTCACTTTTTCACTCCCGGCAGCGAGCGGAGGGATGTTCTCTGGAGGAAGGAGGAGGAGGAGGTTACACCCGAGCTGAACATTTTCACCTTGGGAAGTTTGGGAGTCGGGCTGATAACTTTCTTGCTGGAGAGTTTGTGAATGGAGGGAGACTTTTTTTTTACGCACACGCTGAGGTGTTTTTAAAACGGGACAAACTTTTTCTGCTTTGCCTTTAAGGCTCTGGGATTGTTTTATGGAGACTCTCACTCATCGATTCTCTTGATAGGAACTTTCTGGGACTTCTTTATTGCATCTTTTCTTGTTTTGTTTATTTTCTTCTTTTTTTTTAAAATTCTCAGACAGCTTGTCTTGACCTTTTTCGGGATCCTAACTTTCACACCCCCCACCATCCCGCGGATTTTCAATAACTATCGCTTTGGACGTAATTTGAGTGGATACCATGCGTCCGGAGAAGCGTGCTGCGCCGTGCCGGGTTTGGGCTCTGGCTCTGGCGCTGCTGCTGTGCGCTGCCTCGGTGTCTGGATGCCCACACAAGTGCAGCTGCTCCGGGTCGCATGTGGATTGCCAGGGTCTGGGTTTGAAGACCGTGCCTAAGGGAATACCGAGGAATGCCGAGCGCCTGTAAGTGAAAAGAAACTTCAAACTGTTATTATTGTGTCGTCATCATTTACATCTTTTTTTCGTCTCTCCTTCAATTTGCCCATCCTGTAATTAAGTTGAAGTCCAACTGGCAGCACGTGGGCTCCATGAAAACTTCAAATGTTGTGTTGACGAGTGTCCAGCGATGAGCGACGTCAGATAAACATTTTAATCCGTATAACCATCCTCAATGAAAATAAGTTTCTTTTAAAGTTTTAACTCAACCCTCCTTTCTATATTCACGTCGCTTGTTCGGCTTTCTCGCAAATCCTGCAAGAAGTATGTGTGTCAGCTCCTGACCTGCTGTCACTGATCACATGAAAACAATCCATTTATTTAGTCTAATATTCTGCATTTAGAGACTCAGTTCTTCCGATCAGCTCACATTCACACCAGGCTCACACAGGAGAGGCTCTTCTTCAGACAAAAAAAAAATAAAACAGGGTCAACTTTTTTTTAAATTTACTTTTTAGATCTAGAGGAAATTAAAGTGTTATGTGTTCATTTTAAATTTTTAAATGAAGGCTGCTCACTGGGAACATATTCCTTTATACATGTTATTCACTGGATTCTAGAGCGTCCCTGAACGTCTGAGCAGTAACTCCATGATGCACTCTGGAGTTTGGTGCTCATGAAACTTGCCCTAAAAAACTAAGCGCTGACCCCGGAGAGCGGAGGCCGTGAAGGAAACGGTGCTGAGGCAGCTTTCACAGCGAGTAGCCTTTAAGATTTGAAACGGGTCAAAATGAAAGGTAAGAAGATGCAGTGAGCCCCTTAAATCTTTTTTTTATTTTTTGTTTTTGTATTCTCTGCACTCCCCTAAGCAGAAAGCCTCCCACGCAGAATCCTAAAGTTCAGCCTTGATGCTCAGTGATTTGTGTTCAATTTTTTTTTTTTCAAACCGGCTGACAATCAGTGAGTCTCTCATGAAATTCACTCCTAAAGCAGATACAGACCCCTGACAGCCGCCTTCACCGCTGCTGCCTGATCCTGACACGTTCACACCCCCCACAGCCCCACACACACACACACACACACACACACACACACCTATGCTGTGGAGGTATGGAAGCGATTATGGACGATAAGGGAGCGGGCGAAAGCTCCGCAGGGGATCGACAACAGACCTAACGCTGAGACAACAAACTCAATCAAGGGGCTGAAGAGGGGACATGTGGGGCCTTGTTTGTGAGGATGTGTGTGTGTGTGTGTGGGGGGGTGTTACTGCTGGATATGAGCATGATTAGCATTTGTGCGTGAATTTTTAAGTCAGCCATGTGTGGTTGTAGGCTACATGTTTGTGCATGTTTACTCGTGTGTGATTGGGTTTCTCTCGTGCGGGTGTGTGAGTGTGAACAACGAGGAGCCCCATACCTCCTCCTCCTCCGTCCCACGGTGCCGCTCTGACCTCCCAGGACCTGTTTGGCTTTAACGCAGCAATCCCCCGAAGACATTTACACCCTGGTAAAATAAATAATTAGAGCAGGCTGTGATGGGGAGCCAGGATAAGGGGGTCCCCTGCTTCAAGACCAGGGTCCCCGGGGTGGAATATTTGGGGTAGCAGCGCCCCCTCCCTCCCTCTTCACTCCAGAAACTATGTGTTTATGTTTCCCTGATTTATCCAGGTCAGTGTTTCAGCTGTGACTTTGGCCCAGGGTTGCTCTTTCCCTCCCTTTTCTCTCTCTCTCTCGCTCGCTCTGCAGATATATTTTAGGGAGTCTGAGATGGGAAACATTAAAATGGATGAGATTCCAGTTCTAAAGGTTACGGCAGATGGGAAACTTTTCAGGGAAGAGAGATGAGCGTTATGGCCCTGAGCGGGGATTTGGATTTGACTGCTGGGAGGAGGTCCATGTGGGCGACAGATTCTGGTAACCAAAAGTGCCAAGTTTGTGAAGTTTGGAGTAAAAAAAAAAAAAAAAACCTCCAAATAAAGTCTGCAAATGATCGTGATATTCATGTCAAGATCTCCAGTTTGAAAATGTCACCAGTTTGAAAGTATTTGTCGTGAGCTCGGAGAGAAAGGTCTGATGGAAACGTCTGCAGAGGAGCCAAAGTGTGTTTTGAAACGTCCGTCTGTTCCCACTAATAAGTGATCAGCGTCATGCAGACGGATTAGAGGACGTTTGTTATGACAGCGTCAATATTGGGGTAAAAAGAAACAGTTAGCATGGCAACCCAATCTGACGATCCAGATTATAATTCAAAGTCAGGGTCACAGATTGATGTAAACGTATTGAATGAATGTGTTATTCCAGAACTTTCCTGGCACGCAGAAATACACAAAATGTCGCAATGTTGAGGTCACGGGCTGGACACTGGCGTGCATTAATCTGGCCCGCAGAGCCGAAGCCCTCGGAGAAACTGTCTTTAAAGAACACTTCTCCTGAATTATTTATGTTTCAAGTCTCAAACTCTCACACTGAGAGCGTTTGAACGACGGCTCTGACCATGTCCTAGCTTTCTCCATCATGACGTTCTTTGTCTTAGCTTGGATTCAAAACACGTGCGATGGATGACCCAAAGTCCTGGATGGAAAATATGCAATCAAAACCATCAGTTTGCTCCAAATACTAAAATGTTCTTTGCTCTTAACACTTAACATTTCTTCATGGCGTTGTCCTGCAAACGATTCAGGCTTTCCAAACCACTGGGTCCTCTGAAATGTCTCGTCGTTGCTCAATAAAAAAATATATTGTAGCATTTCGGCCTCAATGAAGCTAGAAGAAGTTGTCCAGTTAGCATGTGGGCTAACACACTTGTCATATCTCTGTCTGTCTCTTATCCATGCCTCGTGCGTTTAGCATAAGAATCCAGCCGGACATGTTGACACTGAGGAATATCAAATCCTCACTTTGTGCACAAATCTCCTCCCGGCTTTTCTGCTCCTGTCCACAATATTATAAATGAAATGGCCTTAAAGTTGTCTCAATGAATGTTAATCTGCAACTCAGCAGAAATTAGCTGGATGTGATTTGGTCGATCGGGGTCTCCAAAGTTTTTTGGAGCCAAAGTGGAGTCAGAAAAGGTTTGGAAGCACAGCGTTAGAGACTCAACGTTTTGTAGACATGTTCAGCTGCAGAAATGGAATTATTGATATAGAGAACATGGAGAACATGGGACACAGCTCCCCCCCCCCCCATAGTAGTCTAACCAAAGTAGAATACTATGCAACAAAACCACAAGACATGTGGCGTTTGAGAAAGAGACACGGCTCGGGCCTTATCTCGGGTGGAAAATCTCTCTCTGACTACGGCTCCACACTGCTCGCTTTATCGCTCTCCGGAGCCACATGTACCAAATCAAACCGATTCACTGAGACTCTGCGGAGGTTTCTGAAAACAAATGTAGAGAAGCAGAGGTCGGACAGAGAAAAAGAGAGACAGAGAGGGAGGGCTACCCGACACAGATTGAGGGTGAAACAAAAGAGTGACTGACAAAAAGGCAAAAATAAAACTTGAGGAAAGACTCAGGTTTAACGTTGAATAGGGAGCCAGTTGCTTCGATGGAGAGAAGTCGATGAAATTGGAAAAGCGTTGGCGCTGTAAAGGTTAAAAAAAAAAGAGTCAGTGTACTGTCTTTACAGCTCTGTGTGTAACTTTAAATCCAGTTCACTTCCTCCGACACCACAAGAGAAAGGTGAGGCTAACGTTTAGCATAGCTGCTGCATAAATCTGTTTTTTTTTTTAAAAAGCTCAGTTTTCCTCGCTCCTGTAAACAGAGCATTTGGAAAGGTTAACGAGAGAAAATCACTGGTGGCCTCGTCTGTCTACACACACACACACACACACACACACACACACACACACACACAGGCAGCCTCGCAGATTACCCCAGGCCAGTCAATTCTGTAATGCCCTCCTTGGGAAGCCACTTGAGACCTCATTTGCATCTAATTTGAGTGGAGGACTTACTGTGGGAGGATGGGGAGGGGGGGGGGGTTTAACAGGCTTAACGAAGCTGGCTAAAGTGAATTGGAAATCGTAGGGACGGCTTTTCTCTCCTGTGTCTAATTCACACCTGCCCTACAGGGATTGCATCGACACACAAACCCCGGAGTGTTGATTTTTTTTTAGAGGCGCAAATTCCAAACTGCTGCCGAGACTTTGGGAACTCTGGAGGGAGTAATCAGGATCACTCTTAGTTTAATGTGTGTGTGGGTGAATAATATATATATATATATATATAGTGTTAAATGTCAGAAATTTTATGTTTGCTTAATTGATTACAGTTTTGTAAATTCTGGAGGCAAAGTCTGACTGATAGTTTTCTGAGACTGATGCTTATGCAGATGTTCGTCGGGGAAAATACAGTTTTTGTGGCCAATAAAGCGCTGACTTAATCGATATACGAGAGGGAATCTGTCTATTTTGTTTTATTTTGAAAATGACAGGACACTGTCTGCCTTCCTGTCCGGGTCGATCTGCTCCGTCATGATTGATGCATGCCGTGGGCTCCGTCGAAAATAGACCCGGTGCGTATTTAGAGCGGAGCAGAGCGTTGTGTTGCTGCTGGAGTGCTCCTTAGGCGGACCGCGGTGCTCGCTGTGGAAACAGAAGCTTTGACTAGAGTGGAGGCGAATGGCGGCGTGGTGCACGGCGCTGACAGAGCGCGGCATGCATGGACTATGTGGAAATTGCAAGACAATACCTCGGACTGTTGGGAGCTATTGGCTGCCTCCATAGTGAACTAAACCCAAGTACTCTTTATGATATGATTATAAGTCAGGGTTAGAAGTCAGGGCGTCCAAATGGTTGATTTTCTGTACACGAGCATGTATATGTGTCCATAACTGTGTTTGCAGTTGAATGAGTTCACCGTTTGTAGAGGCGTGCGGCCCGAGCCAACTCTACACAAACTCAAGTCTGAATTTAACTGCCTATTTTTCTGTTCCCGCGCTTACGGCGCTCGAAAAGTTTTGGAACATGTTTTACGAGCAACACCTTCTCTCCTTTCTCTGCTTCGTCCCGGCTCACTCTCTC